CTCCGCTGGCCTCAGTCCTTCATGGATACAGCTCGCCTTGTCCAGCTACACTGAATCCATTCAACGACTCGTCCTTTCCCTTCCAGACTCTGGTGCCACTGTGGTACCATTTTCCTCTAGATTCGCTTGATTTTTATTTCAAGTTCTAGAATTTGAATGCATATCTTGAATTTTGCAAATGTGACACAGGACATACAGGATGGTGCTGAGGTAGTGGTGGGATATTCAACAGGGTTGCTACAAGCAGCAGGACACCACCCAGTGAACGGCTTATTGATCTGTTCGTTCAGAGTATATATACCTGCCATGCCTTCAGAGAGGGAGGGAAGTGGTGCTTTGGTCTGAAGAATGATTGGATGTTTTGTTTGTCTTTTTCAGTAGAGTCAGAAGACCATTTTGATTGACATTTCTATTGCTTTGCTTTACTTTTTTTTTTTTTTTTAAACTAGTTTAAGTTTCTGCCTCGGACGTTGGTAGGAGGTAAGTAGACTCCAGGTTTAGACATGGACAGAAAACCTTACAGCACTTATTGTTAACAGGTATGGGGGCTAGGCTTTCCAAATGGTTTTCCTTCTAGAAGGGTTGACCTGCCTGCTAGAGGAGTTTTAGTTATTTTCTAATGGTCAGAATTGTGGACAGAAACATCTGTTAGCAGAGCATGTGTTATAATCCAAAGCCTGGCATTTTGTTATTTGATTCTAAGTGGCTAATTTCTATGGGAGACAAGGTAGAGGGCACTGTATCCGTGTGGCATCAGAAAAACTGTATTGCCAAGCCTTATCAGGTCCATGACTTTCGTGTCACCCATCATGTTCCATTTGAAATTAGAAACAAAAGCTCAAGAGAAGCTAACCTTCATGTGGTGTCCCTTATGTGTCAGGTGCTGCAGTCCGGCTGCAGCAAAATAACCGGGGTGGGGGGGGCGGTGTTGAAGAACTTGTGTACATTGATACAGCAGGAGTGGGAGCCGTTTATTGTAGGACCGGAGGAGTATATATACATTCCACACAGCTTATCTTAGTTAACATAAACTAGATACAGCAGTCAATCAATAAGGAATCTCCACACTTAATGGCTCGCTGGTGTTACTTCACAAACCACTCCCTCTGGCAAAATGCCAGGCGCCATCTTGACTTGTTTACAGACCCTAACAGTCAGGAGCACAAGTGCAAGTCTCTGCACATTCTATCTATTTGTGTATTTCTCATTTGCTCCCTAGAACAGCCTTTGGAAGTAGGTGTCATTACTTAGTGAACACCAGAGTCCATCCTTTGGTTTACCATGTATCAGTTGCCATCTTAAGTGTGATACATGAATTAGTTCATTTTATCCTTAAAGCAACCCTCTTGAGTAGATATTCTTATAATCCTCATTTTGAAAACAAGAAAACTAAGCCTTATGCAAATTGAGTCTAATTTGCATAAGACTACATAGTTGGGGGGTGGTGGAAGTGAGGTTCAATCCGGGCAGTGTGGCCTCAGCGCTGGTATTGGACCCCTATCCTAGGTTGCCTTCCCCTCTGCACCCACCCCCTAGTGGGGAGAGCATACGGACCAATGGGATGTGAACCAGGATGCAGTCAGAGGATTTGGACTCTAGTTTGGCTCCAACACTGACTGTAGCCTCTCTTGGCCTCATTTTCCCCATCAGTAAAATAAGATTACTCACCCTTTATTCAGAATCAGTGTCCTTTGAGTGGGGAACCTGGGCCCAGGGAATATATCATCAAAACCATGGGGTGTGCTGGAAAATGGTGATACAACTCTATTTCTAATTTTTATAATCTAAAGGTGAGATAGGAATAAGCTGGATCAATATTTAATATTTCAGCTGACCTTGCACCTCTGCTGCCTGCTACAGACACTGGGGCTGTTCTGGAGGCCACCTGGGAATTCTTTTTGAATGGCAGTCAATAGTGACACCTTCACCTCTTTTTTGTCTTCAACATTTGCACATATTATTATGGGTTCTGGCTACAGATGTCAGCACTAAACTTAATTTTATTTTTTAAATCCTCTAATAACCAAACCTTTATAATACTTGGTTATGAGTTGGGGATTAACTACAAAAATCTATGGTTTCAGAAGAGGTTTTCTGATTAGGCCATGAAAAACAATTTGAAGGTTTTTTTGTTCATTAGTTTCTTCACATTATAAATGTGAACTCCCAGTTTTCCTTTTATACAAATTCAAGCTTGCCTGCCTCCCTTTCTCCCTCCCTTCTCCCCTTTCTTACTTCTCTTTCTCCCTCCCCTTCCCTCTTCTGGTAAGTTTTGTTAAAGAAAAAATTTTACACCATCTCCTTTGCACGGGTCAGTTCTGGCGTGCTTCTGATGGTATCAGAATCACCTGGATCATGATAGCCAGTATGTGTACTCTGTAGTATTTTCTGTGTGTTATGCCTGATTTGCTGTTACTGCCTGGCAGTAATGGAGATCAGTTTTGGCCACCATAGCATAGTACTCTTTTGCCGGCTTCCTCAATCTGGGCGGTTGTTGGTGAGGATGACCAATTTTGCCTTGCTCTGTCTCACCATATTCAGAGTCTGCTGACCCCAGCCATGTATTTTCCACTTCATGATTGAGCTAGAGTCAAGCATTTACTGATCTCAATGACTTTACATCCACTTTATTGCCACCATCTTCCTGCCTTAAATGTGGGATGACCCTCAACTAAGAGTAATTACCAGGATGGCCAGGAGTGAGAAAGACTCAAGCTTACTTAACTTGCCCATTTCTAATACCCATTGGTATTAAAAAACCTAACACGTTTGGCCACAAATGCATTTGAGAGGATGCTTTCTGAAAGAAACTCATGCGCTGGAGAGAACACTTTGAAAATAGATGTTTGGAAACATCATCATGTGAGCTCAATGCTGAAAAATGAGTCGAGGTGTCATTTATAAAAACACACAGCTCTGCATATTTTAAATTTGGAAAAGAAACTTTCTGAGCTATTTAAAAAATTTGCCAAAGGAGGAGTTTTAGTGGGTTTTCAGTTCATTTGTTAAAAATATAAAGTTGTCACAGATTTTGGTTAATTGACATCAAGAAGTGTGGACATTTACCCACTAAATTGAAACAACAATCTGAGTGTCAATAGTTAATATGATTTAAAAATGTGGCATGATTTAATAAACTCAGCCACTCATCAGTTTCTCCCTTATGTACTGTGATACTGAATAATGGCCCCTCAGAAATGACATATCCTAATCTCTGGAGCCTATGAACATTCTCTTAAGTGGAAAGGGATCTTTATAGATATAATGAAGGACTTTGAGATGGGGAGATTATCCTGATGGGCCCTAAATGCTGTTATAAATATCTTTATAAGAGAGAGAGAGAGAGAGAGAGAGAGAGAGAGAGAGAGAGAGAGAGAGAGAGAGAGAGATTTGACACAGAAAACAGAGAAAAAGGCAATGGAAGCAGACACTCGAGTAATGTGGCCACAAGTCAAGGAATACCATAAGCCACCAGATGCTGGAAAATACAATGAACACATTTCTATCTATACCCTTTGGGAGAAACTCCTTGATTTAAGCCCAGTGGTACTGACTTTGGATGTTGGTCACCAGAACAGTGAGAAAATAAAATTTTTCTTTAAATGTTACCAAGTTTGTGGTAATTTGTTATAGCAGCCATAGGAAACTAATACATATCATTTAAGTAACTTTCTAAAAGCTATATTCATTTATCAAAACAAAAGTGTGTTAAACTGAAATTAAAAATTATTAAGTTGCTTTTTTACACAGTTAAGCCATATTTTAAAAAGTAATTAGGCATTATTATGTGATACCTTGTGAAAAAATTATCTATATATTGCATAAAACAAAATACGTGGTGACCCAAAAGGATTTTGGCATCATTAAATAGAATTATATATAAAAATCATCATTTTCTTTTTACTCCTTGCATTATATATGTTGTGTATATTTTATAAACACATTGGCATGATTAATTTATAAGTTATATGCTCTCTTTGTGAAAGAAACTCATATAACTTATAAATTAATATGTAAGAGCATGTAACTTATAAATTAATGTATGGTGGTGCCTGAGTTCTACAAATTTGCTCTAGGAGATTATTGTCAAGAAGAAATGAGATATGCAAAAAATATGCAAACAAACTCCTGGAACATGGTAGCATTCTGAGTGTGTTTGTTGGGTCATTGAATGATGGATAATGAAGAAGTAGAGGCTCCTGGGTTGAGCAGTAGGCCCAGGGGAAACAAGTGGCCTCAGGTGTGCTGGATTCCAAAGCCTGTGATCTTCTGTCTGTGCCATCATTATATGAACTGTGCTTATTGAAGCTGTCTGATAATTTCTGGAAGACCAGCCAGAGAGTCTTAGGGTGAACATGTAGGGTCCACTTGTCCTCTTTTCAGCATTGGGTGGGTGGGGAGGAACAGGAAGTGCAATAGAACATTCCTGCATTGGGTGTGACTGTGTTGGCATGATTTTTTTTTGGGTGGGAGGCGGGTACTGGGAAGGGGATTGGGAGGAATTTGTGGAGGCCTGGGCTGTGACTTCCCTTGGATCCTGAACATCTATTTTTGTGAGAGTCACTTATAATTGCACATTCACTGTCGGACCTGCAAACCATTGTCTCTGAGAGATCACTGCACAGTACCAGACACGTGATAGATGCTCAGTCATTATTTGCCAAATGAATGAATGGCAATTTTCAAGAGATAAGGTGTTGTGTTATTTGGATCCTTATACCCTATCACAGTACCGGGTATCCAAGAAATGTTGGTTGAACTGAGCTCAGCAGAGAGGTAGTGGGCCAAGGCTTTGGGGGATATGACCTAGATGCAGGGCATTAGGTCTCCTCCCCTTGTTCCCTCCTCTCTGTCCCAATGAGGTCCAGGTCAGTATATGGAGAGTCCAACTGGGGAAGGGGGTGGTGTACATCTGTTGGCCTTTAGAAAAGGAAAAAAAATCAAAGTACAAAAATTCAGATTTATTAATGCCAAATATTTCTAGAAATAAAAAACGGAAAATTTTGTGCCATATTTTTGAAATGTCAAAACAAATCCAGAATGCAAGATAGGCAGATACAGTGGTACCTTTGCATTCTGTTTTAGCTTTAGGCTTCTTAAGAGATTTCTGTATGAGTTGTGGTTATAGTATTCATCTGTGTATCTCATTTTTGACCCGAGAGTGAGAAGAATAATTTGGAGGCGATGAAAATAAATACTCACCTGACTATTAAGTACAAAAATGGGTCTCAGGGCTACAGGATCTCAGCCCCACCATCTGAAATGTAAATATCTCCTGAAATTCCCATTTAAGAGCAGATTTCACCTGCAAGTAGACTGTTATATCTTCCTGAAAAATATATACACTCTAGTGAGGGAATAAACACATCATTACACTTTCATGACAGATAAGCTCGGCTCTGTTCGGGTGTAAACTCATTTTTCTTGGGTTGACCTTTAAATAGTATTGTGCTATTGTATGGGATTTAAATCAATAATTTTGTCAAAGCAAAATATACTGCAAGGTTTTTTTTTTCTTTATCATTTAAACAGTTCTGTAAACTCTCAAGGAGTAATGGATTTCTACACACTTTTCCCAGGAAGGGAAGGGAGGAAAGATGGGGGTGAGGGGGTTGGGGGGGAGGAGAAGCATCTTATAAAAGTCACTTAGTAGCAATGAGGCAGAAGCCAGGGCTGGCTGGGGATTTGCAGATCTGAGAGAGTTCCGTTTCCTCTTCCAGGCAGCTGAGATGGAGGGGCCGGTGTGGGCTGTAATTAGTGGTGTAATACCTTTTCTGCATTCCTGTTGGAAAGTGCCAAAGTGTCCCAGGTGTGAGGAGGTTAAAATGAGAAGTACCCAGTAGTTATGAAGCAGCAATAATGAGTTTCCTTCTACTTACCGTGGATTTGTGTGATATACAGCTTGCAATTAAGCATGGCTTGGTGATTCAGTGATTAATGTATGTACAGCTCCTAAAGGGGGAAAGCCGCCCTCCCGCCACATCCTTCATGATGTTTACAGCTGGGTACCTATTAACAGGAAGATGGAAAGGGCCATTTACAATTCAGTAACCTTTATGACAGTGAACTCTTTAATCAGCATTTTATTTCCTTTGTAACACTTTAGTCATCTACAAATGTCAGAATAAAATAGGGCCATGAAATATTTAGGATCGGCATGTGGAAATTGACTTCCCCTGATTTAAGTTGCTCTGTCTTTTCATTTTGTTGTTTTGGGAGCTTTTACTTTTATTGAAAGACAATTTATAACTAAATGCTCCCAACAGTGACTGGCATTAGGGTAGGAGAAATTTCAGAGAGCCAAGTTCTGGTTCTATAAAATGTGTTGATGCTTGCTATATTGGGTAATAAGTTATTCAAATAAAAACATTAGCAAAGGGTTTGCATTTCGGAGCAGCATTTAGTGGAGGTACAGCGGACTCTGCCGAGTTTATGACAAAATGCCCCGACACATTTTAGAAAGGTAATTAAGTATGAAGTACATCCATAATAATTTAAGTCAGTTATAGTGTGTACCTGAAATATGCATTATTGTCTCACATTATTTTCTTAGTGGGATTCTGGGACATTTTCAATTTAACAATAACCACCTTTTAGCTTTCTTGTATTGTTGCCAATGTATGTAATACCTATTAGCCCAATCACCACGTTTTTATTTTTAAAAGGACCCTTAGACAGTGATATTTTATTAAATTGTTGCATTATTTTTTCCTACTCGTATCTTTTGCTAATTCATTTTAACACAGTGAACCCAAACACACCTCAAAAGTTGTGTGTGTGTGTGTGTGTTTAAATAAGTCTTGCACAACAGTACGCTTTAGGAATTTGGCATGGTGCAGGCCCCCCACCCCCCCACCTCTTACTTCCAAAGGTTCCTGTTGACCATTTTTTGACCTTGGGATGTTCTTCGCAGGGTTAATGGTAGAGGCCTGGTTTCCCATTGGCCATATGAGGCCACCTTCTGTATACTCTTCTACAAGGTGTTGAGAAGGTGGTAATTTTTCTGCTGCATGGAAACCATGCATGGAACCAATGTGGTGCCCCTGAAAGACCAGCTCTGTGTCCTGAGCGAGCCCCTTACCAGCCTTCCGCTTTCCCATTTTGTACACTGAACTGGTTTACTGGATTAGGCTGCTTCAAGGCAACTGTGAAGGAGAAGATGGGAAAAGGGAAAAGACCAAGAATAAATTAAGGCCGAAAGTTCAAGCTACCCCAAGTGGAAGGGTTCTATGACTAAACTCTGTTCAATATGAGTATTAAAGAGAATGTCTTTTCCTAGACAATGGAAGTGACCTTGTCTTATGAATGGGTTGTTGCTAAAGAGTTAAAGCATATTTTGAAGAATTTAGCAAGAAATTAAACCCTTTGTGTTATTTTCTCTTTCCCTTATCTTCAGAAAAGGACAGGGCCCCCCCTTGTCTTCTGGTAATAGGACCCCAATCTACAAAGTACCAGTAATAGTTATTTGAGTTGGAATATTTACAAAGAAAAATGAATTATTAATTTCATGTTTGAGACTTTTCCTTGCTAAGTTTGGGGAATAGGAAAGAGAAAAGAGGGAGGCCAAAGGACTGGAAGAATGTGCTGGGGAAGAATATGGGCTCAGGTTTGGAGTACTTATGAGACGAACGAACCCCTTTCTGTGTTTCAAACCCCACCGCCCTGCCCCATCTCCGATAGCCTCAGTGGCTTGCATCTGAGATGGGTCTTTGGAACAGTGCAGTGGGTGGAAGCCAGCAGGCCATTATATAAGGCTACAACAAGGACTCAGACCCCTCAGACTAGAGAATGAGAAATTGGAGTCTTCTCATCAGAGTGACATGGTCACCTGGTGACACTGGAGGAGGAACCCAGTGACCTGAGTCAAGACTGAAGCCCTGTGTAGGTGACAGTGAAGTACTGACTCTCAGGGCAGGCAGGGACATGTGGGGGATGACTGGAAAAGGAGGATGGGTGGACAGCAGAGCAGCATTTCAAATGGTGTTGGTTCCATCCCTTGTCACTGTCTCACAAAAGGTCCCTGTAGTGGCAACTTCGAAGGCAGGAAGCAGTGAGGGGGCTGGTAAAACCTGGCTGGCTGTGGATTTTGCTCTTGTTTTTTCCAATTTTTGATTCATTTAGATGTCTTATTTTTGAATCTGTAAAACCACTTTTTAAATTACAAAGGTACCGTGAGAGATAATCATAGGAAGTTTGAAAAGCAAATGAGAGAATACAAACAATTGTCTTTCATCCTCCCACATGATCACAATTATTATTATTTCTATGTATTCTTTGTCTTTTACCAGCAGTATAATCCTTGTGGTTAAAATAAGAACCACATGTCCGTTTTGTATCCTGCTCCTTTCTCATGAAATGGGATCAGATACATTTTGCCGTGTTGCTTCACTGTCTTTTTAATCATCCTTTTTGAAGACTGCATACTATTCTATCCAACAAGCATTTCATTATTTTAAAAATAACTTAACACATATTTAAAAATTCTAATATGGGCTATTAAGTTTACTGCAAATATATATACACCATAACAACAGTGTGATATTTGTCCTTATCACTGCTTATAAATTTTCTACATTTTGGCTCTTTGCTGTAAGAACATAGTCACAGTTATAGAATTACTATGTGTAAGAGACCCTGTTGTATTGTGGGCTTTGCCCACTTATAGCTCAAAAGCTTTTAACAGCTTTAGGTGAGTTTCTCCCAGGTTTGAGCTGTGGAGCTGTTCCAGGCTCAAAGCTTTCACAAAAAGCTTGTGTTCCTATAGAGAATATTAGATGTTTTGAAGGTTCAGGGGGATTTAAAGTCATGCACATGACACTATTCACTTGGAATTTTGCTCTGTTAGATAACAGAACATGAGAAAGCAGCAAACCGGATGTGATGAGTGGTGAAAGGCATGGAGGCTGACATCTGTTGGGCATCCAGATGATGTTAGATTGTGTCAAGTTTGGGACCTCATTTAATCTCAGGACTGTCCTATAGATTGGGAATTATTGGTGCTACTTTTTTATTATGAGGAAACTAAACTAGGTGAGGTTCAGAGACCTACCTGAGGACATCTAGCTTCCATGGAGTCAGAATTTGAATTCAGGTCCACTCTGCCAGGTACCCTTTAGATGAAGCAGTGGTGGGGACCCCACTGCACTCCACGATAAGCATAAAATGGTGGCCACGTCCTGTCCCCTTTGAAATACCAGAAACTCTTATTCTAGTTACTAGAATTTAGACTTCAAAGTGACTCTTGTTCCATTTTGCAGACACCAACTCCCCGCTTTATACAGTTCTTTGAAATCACAAAACATATTTTTGCCTTAGAACCTTGGTGTACTGGGGATTTGGAGTAGGCTGGCTGGAAAACAGCCAGACATCCAGGGGTTGTTAGGATGGTCTGTGTGTGTGTGTGTGTATGTGTGTGTGTGTGTGTGTGTGTGCACGTGTATCCCTCAGGGAGCTGGAGTCTGAATTTCGTTGGTCCCTATCAGAGTTCACTTTCTCCCTTTGTGCTTTCCAGAAGGTGGTGAAGGAACCATAGATGTGTTAGGGAGCACAGGACACCCTGGATTTTGGGAAGCCAATTTGGGAACCCCCATGAACGTGGAACCCACCCAGACAGAGGGATGCTCTGAAAGAATCATCCAGGGTCCTTGGGGAAACAGTTCACATGTCCAGTCAGGAACAATGAAAAGAGTGATGCTCACGGTTAAGCCACAAGTTTAAGATCATAACACCTAAGGTAGTCAGGCAGATTTAGAGATGAGGGTATCATCTCCACATTGAAGAGCTAGATGGAAAATGCAAATGAGAGATGACCAAGATGGCAAGCAGGGAGGCACAGGGGTGGGCTTGGGGCTCAGCCTTCACCTTGCTTGGGCTGGGTCTGGGCCATCTCCTTCCTTTGGGGCTGAGAGAAACTGGAACAGCTATAGGAGGAGGATGGTTTTCCACCAATTGCTTAGGGGCCAAAATAAGGAGGGAAAATAGGATGGTAAGGGACTTGGTGGTTGGGGGTCCACAGATGTGTGGGTCCTGGGTGACTCTGTGACCCAGCTCTTTTGCCTGACAGTACTGCATTTGAACCTCAGCCTGGTTTTTCTTCTTAACAAAGATGGGGACAAGGAATCCGTGTCCAGCTTTCTCCCCACCCCTTGGAGATGAAACATGGTACCCCCACCTGCACCCAGCAGCCCTGCGGCCTCGTGGTCAGGATTACTTAAATGTTTATCCTTCCCCACTTCTTGACCTTTCTTGTTCAGTCCTAGTTCCCGGGTCCCGCTTGCTTTGTGTTTCATGAGCTTAGCAAACCGTGGCCTCCAATTCCCTAGTTCTAGTGTTTTCACTTAAGATGAGGAGTGATGAGCCAAAGGTTTCAGGCTCAATCCTTGAGCAAAGGGCCGCTCTGACAGGGATTATTATTTATTTGTCATCTTGGATGTAATAAGCTGTAGGTACAGCTTCGAGAGCCCTTGATTTATTGCGCTGTCTGCTGCCACTAGCGGGACGCCTGCTCCACCACGCAGGATGAATACCACACTGTCAGCTCCGTCGATCTGTCTCCGCCACTGCTCCCTCTCTCATAACACATTCCCATTTCATGCCAGAATACATAAACAATCTTTCATTATTTTGATGCCTTTTTCATATTTGTTCTTTACAGAACATAAAGTTTGAATTTATGGGTTTCCTTTACATTATTTCAACACACTCCACCATTTTCCGGGTTTGTGGTTTAACTCTCAGAAATTGGCTGCCAGGTGATTTAGTTATTTTGGCTTTCTAGTTTTATAGTTATTTAATATCGCAATGCCAGATCCTGAGAAAATGGAGCGCACGAGAGGTGTGGGATTTGCAGTTGAGGCTCTTGTCATGAAGGCCACGTGATCCCAGGGATGAGGCGTGGAGGTTAAAAACAAGGCTTGGGAGATGGGCGATCATTGGCTCGGTATTTTAAAAAATCCCACCTTTAAAAAATAGTATTTGCATGATCAGCCAGCCCACGGCCTGACTTGAAAGCAAAGAAGGGACATCTGTGGTTAGGAGTTAACAAGGTTTTCTAATCGAGTGGCCGGGATGCCCACCCCGTTCTGTCTGCTTTCTCAGAAGCAGCTCCCAGCCTGCTGTCTTTCACCTGCTTCTGCGTTTCAGAGGCTTGGCCACATGGCCCCGTTGTAAAGAATTTCCGTTTTTGCCTTTAATTCTCCTAAACGGCAGAAGAGCTTGTGTGCAAAGGCATTCACATAGAGACAGGAAGTGGCTGCCTCCTTTTCCCTGTCGGACGGAGGACAGGCGTGGAGAATGCATCATGCACCTGCTTCCCCGTTCACTTGTTGACATTGTCCTGTTGGCACGGATTTCACCCCCACTCACAGATCCATCGTCCATCTCAAATTTCACCATCTTCTTTTTAACAGAACCCAACAGTACTCTTATGTATGGTTTAAACGGAGCACCTAAGTGTTTTCGATTTGTAAAGGTTTTCCCCAGTTATTTTCCTTGAAATTAAATTTTCAGAGATCACAAGAGAAGCAACGTGTAGAGTGCATTGGTGATGCTGCTGAGGGGGGTATTTTCTACATGCGCGAGAGAAGCGTGTGTGTGTGTGTGTGTGTGTATGCGTGTGTGTATGTTGTGTGTGTGTGTGTGCATGCGTGTATGTGTGTGTCTTCGTCGGCTTCTGGGGTTGGTCTGTGCAGAAGCCTTTCACTTCTCTCGATGATTCTTGACAAATACAAGCCAGGGGCAGGTGAGATCATTCTCCAGTCAAGGTCAATTAATCATGCACAAGTCATGACATTTGGGAAGTCCAGGTCCATCCCAGTGACAGTGCTAATGCTGATTCCTTGGCTGAGACTCCAGCTCATTTGGGGGAAGGTCTCATTCTCCCATGCTTAATTGTGTGTGTATGTCTTTGCCCTTCCACTCAGCCCCTTTGAGGGGAGGGGGCTCAAGGTGAAAGATGCTCTACCTTTGGAAAGTTCCTCTAAACCCTGTCTCCTCCCCGAAAGACACTAATGAATGTGGATTTGAATGTCATAAATGCAAGATAATTTTGCCACTCCTTGCTTCCCTTGGCAGCCTTCATTAGAAAAGTCGGGGATTTGCTTAGCTCACGTCACATTGCACAGGCCTGTTGTGGCTGGAAGGGAACCCTAGTTAATTAATATGAGAAATTTGTTTTGTGTCCCTGGTTTGAAGAAAAAAAAAAAGAGAGAGAGACTGTGCAGGTTGGTGTTGTCAGCAAAAGCTGCTTGTCACTTTGACCTGTTCTGTTAAGTGTTTGATGTGTTTTCTCAGAGTAATCTGTGAATAACATTATAGCCCAGCAGAAGAGAAACCGAGGGAGCAATAGCAGAATTAATATCTGGGAGCGTTGATAATTATATATCAGAATCTAATTTTTAGCACAGAAATGTGTTAATGACAGAGAGGAAAACAAAAACCACTAGCTTCTCCCAGCAGGCCCCAAAGTGTCATTTATTATTTCTCAGCTGGATATCTATCAAGTTTATGGGTTAATTTTTCTGTAGACTGTTATTTATGGGTTTTTGTTTGTTTTCAGCCATCATTACTAACAATACGGTTAATAGCAATCATTTGTTACCCAGCACTAGGCGTGATGCCTCAGATGAGAGCACTGAACTGAGAATACTCATTTGGTAGCTGAATAAGGCCCTGACAGGGCCCATTTATAACAAGCTCATTCTATAATGTCCATCCTATTAATAAAATTTTGTTGCTGTCTAATTAGAGATGTCTGATGTGTATAGGAGCACGGCAGAGGAGACTTTCTGCTGCTTTTTTTTTTTCCTTTTTACCCTGGTCTCTTCTGTCACAGGCACAGCCCATCTGGGCACGTAGGTTCGAGAAACAAAAGGAATGCGGGGTGAGCAGTGGATGAAGGTTCTGGATGAGATTTCGTGGCAGCCGTGCTGTGTGAAGACTCAGATGCACCTCTTAGGTTTTACCTGCCTGGGTTAGTCACTTGCAGTTTGCCTCTCAAATCCACAGGGGTGCAAGATGTGGCCATAAGACACTGTGATTGATTGCCTAACAAAGATAGCCCAAACTTAGCATCCAAGTGCGCTCTGAGCTCTTCAAAGCCTTTGCCTTGAAAGGCAATGCATTTATTCCTAGGCCACCCACAACCTTCTGGAAATTTCACTCAGTTTGTTTGCAGGGTTTCATTCAATAAAAAAGTGAATAGTCTCCCCAGATAAATATTTGGAATGATATATGCAGTCATCAATCTCAATGTTTTGTGATCACACTTTGGATTAAGAGGCTGATTCACTTTAGTCATTTTTATCCTAGTGGATCTTTCAGGCTTTTTTCCTTAATTAGGAAGACGCTTATGGGTGATGTGATAGGATATGTCCATCTGTTGGACTAGGGCTTGGAATCCCAACAGCTACCTTTAAATCCTAATGCCCTTACTTAACAGTGTTGTGATCCTGGGCTGGCTTCTGAATTGCTCAGTTCCAAAGACAGCAGGTATCAGTCCTAAGAGATCGGACTGTTAGAAAGATAAAGTCACACATGAAAATGGCTTGCAGGTACCTCCCAAAAGCTTGTCCCAGTTGTCATTAGTTACAATTCACTTTCATTTTCAGAACCTACCCCATTGAGCTTCTAAAATCATTTTTATCATCGTTGTATAAACAGTTTTACTAACTAATTTTATTGCTCATATTTCAAGTGAAATTTTTCCTCCACTCTAAAAGTGAAACTTAAATACATAGCACTGAAAAGTTTTTATCATCTGATTATGGCTTATTTTGAAGTTTGCTCTGTTTAGGGGGTGGGGAATAGGAGTTGAAAATTCAGGGAAGAAACATTTTATTAGTTTGGTGGGTGCTTGGAATTATACACCTTTGAATTAAGAGCACACGCTCAGGCAATACACTGAAGAATGTTTTAAAATAGTTTTGTTGCTAGGTAACTGTTTTTTTTTCCTCTTTAGTAAGCTTCCCCCCAGCCCTGTGAAATGTTTTGCAAATGATCTTTTGAATAAAAACGATCATCTAATATTTTTTCCCAGTCTGTTTGATTTTGAAGGTAATTTTTTTTTTTTAAGTTATAGCATTGAAAAATTTCCATCCTAAGCTTGGTGATGAGAGTGCTCTGTGGAGTTAAGCTGGCACAGGCTTGGGTCATCTGCTGGTTTTTCCCCTAAACTGCACTTGACTACAGCTTATCAGCCCTTAATTAGTGCTACATTTTCTCCCTGTGATTTCTATTGATGTGGAGTACGGGAAGCTGGATTGAGCCTCCACCTGACTGGTGTGCAAATTGTTTTAGAAAATTCAGCAAACATCTCTCTCCATTATCTCTCCCTCCACAACCCCCACCCCTCCCCGACCTCGTTTCTCTCTCCTTGTGTCTCTCCCTCTTCCATTCCCCTGGATAGGAAAGGTGAAAAGCAGGACGATAGGAATCAGGTTGAGTATTAGTGTTTTTGCTGGCCTATGCAATAGAAAACGACAAGCGGCCAGCCGGGCCCTCCGTCAGCAGATCACAGATCTGGAAGCAGGAGGTGGCAGCCAGGGGAGGGGGGCTCCCCCGTGGCCTCGGGATGGCTGCAGTGTGATTGTGAGAGCCGGGATGAAGTCAGCACTGACAAAGTGAGGGGATTGATGGATGGACAAAGCAGGGAACTGGATGTGAGAATGGATGAGGGCAGAGGGGGAATTTAACACAGACAAACAGAATGAAAGACAGAGAGGAATTGCCTGCTAAAGTATGCCCGCCCTCAGCTCCCACAGCAATTTACTTACTGCTAACTGAACACCCAAGGATTGTTTGCATCTTTGCAGATTTTCCTTCCAGCCGAGGCTGAGGGAGGCTTGCAGATTCCAGCCAGTGTGTGTGTGCCAGGCTTTCTCTTTCAACATCCCCCCGCCCCGCCACTATTCACACACCCTCATTTAATTCAAACCGAGCAGCTGATTATTTCCAATAAGTTCACACAGTGTTTCTGCAGAATAAATTTTCTTCCTCTGCCATTATTTTAATGTTTCCACTAAATTTACCTTAATCAGTTATTTTTGTCAAAGTGTAGTAAATAATAATATTTACCTGCTCCTTTTGAAAATGTTTCTGGAAAGAGATCCATTATTGCCTGAGGAAGGCGTTGGAACAGTGTTGTACACTTCTTTTGCTCAGGAAAAAGTTAGTGACTTTCTACCTTATCCAGGCTGTGCACATGGGTGAGTGACTCAATATTTAGTGCTTGTAACACTACACTTGAAGGTAGAAAAAAATTCTCTACCCCAGTCCCCAAATGTTATTTCACTAGCCACTCCCCCCCCAAAAAAAAAGTGGAGAGGAAATAAACATAATTTTTTTTCTCCTAAGAAAAATGCATAGTATTGCCTATTTTATAACAAGTTTGCTATTTACAGAATGAATCTTAAGAAAATAAGACCCTTTAGTTAAAAAGCTATTTGAGGATTTTATTTTATAAACAATATAATTGGCGATTGTATAGAGTAACAGAAGATGATAAATCAAGTTATTATAATTGAATACCATACCCACATGTATACTTTGTATTTAGGATTTTGTTTTCTTGTGTGAATAAAGAAAATGGGTTTATGAGACTAGTTTATTTAGAGGCTTTGGGTAAGAATTAGTGTTATTTAAATTCCAGAAGATAAACCTAAAAAAAAAATGAATAAATAAAGCCCCAAACACAAGAATGGCTTGGAAAGTAAAAAGGAAACTTACCCCAACTTAGTGTCAGCCTTAAGTTTCCAAGTGAGACATTATATTTTCAGTATTTCCAAGAAACATAGAATCTTATGGAGCCTGGGAAGTCTCTCATTTTGGAAAAATTGAGGGGGGTTTTATATTTTAGAATGAAGGCTGATGGGTCTACTATTTCCTTTATCAACTTTCTCCCATAAGTACAATTTGTCCCCCCAATACCTAGTCTCTCTTCCTCTTTGTTTTCTCTCTCCCTAAGTAAATGGCCTGGAAATACAAAAGAGTCTCTGAATTTTTGTTTGTTTGCTCTAGATTACAAAAGAACCTCCTGCCCTCAGGGGTGCTGGCTGATGTGGCCACACCCCTGGTTGGCAGGCAGGTGTTCTTTTCCTGGTCACACACCTCCAGAGTGCACTCTTTCTTTCCTGGGATTCCGCAAAGACTCTATGTCTAGGACAGCAGCAGAGTTCTCTGCTTGGCTCTTATAGGCCCCTGGGATGCAGTAACAGCTGCCTGCACAGTGAAAGCCAAGGTCTTGGGAGAAGGTCTGTGGGCTTGCTAGAAATGATGAATGGGAGTTGGAAAAAAAAAAAGAAATTAATAAGTTATCCATCGCATGGAGATCCATGAGACGTATTTTCAGAAATGGCATAGATTATCTATCACTCTGATGATGTTCAAAAGTGGATTTGTGCTTGTGTTCACACCCACATTTTTTGTGCAGCCTCAAGGCTGTGGCAGCCTGGAAGCCATGTCACCCCCCCTCACCCCCGCCCTGTGTTCATTGAGCATCGTTTGGGGATGATATGAGTTCAGAGCTGGCTAACCGCTTGGATATCATATTGCATATTAATCCTTGGTATTGAGTAATTTTTCAAAGGTTGAAAAAGCTGACAAGTGATAAAATTAAGTTTACTATAGCCGGCTCACATGTGGCCCAGAGATACTGCTCAGGGTAACATGTTACACAGAAGTCAGGTCCTTGGGTATTTCAGGGGACTCTGGGAAGCCTTGGGGGGAACGGGTAGTAACTCATCTCTCATCTCGTAGTGAACCTTGATTTGTTGAGGCAGGTCAAGAAGAATTGGTTTCTTTTGTCCTTGTTACTGATCCTGTGGTATCCAGGATCTCCACAAACCATTTTACAACACTCTCCTGTGAATCACTACACTTACACATCCCAGAACCAGTGTGCAGGTGCCTGAGCCCTATCTACTTAGACACTCTCAAAAGTAGGGGAGACTGAATAATTTATATAACTTATTTTAAAGAAGCACTGAGGAGGATTCTAGTAGGTGGTCCAGAGACTATCATTCCCCTCATGTTCCTTTGGGGTTAGGAGTTTTGAGCCCTTTGATTCATTAGCAATAAGCAAAAGAAGGTTCAATTCAGTTTTATTTTGCCCCTCAGTTTAACTCAGTGTTTTCTGCTTATAAATGCAATATATATTCACTGTAGAAAATTTGAAAAGATAGAATGGCTGGTTTTTTCCTTCAGATTTTTCCTATCACCCAGAAGTTACCACTGTTAAAATTTTGTTGAATATCCTTCTTTGTTTTTTTTTCTTCTTCTTTTTTGTGGTGCTGGGGATTGAACCCAGGGCCTTGGGTATGCAAGGCAGGCATTCTACCAACTGAGCTATGTCCCCAGCTCTATTTTTCCTTAAAAAAATAATATATATATAAAATTTTAGAATATTATAATTATTTCCTAATCTTAGTTTGCACTATGCCTTTGCACTTGCCATGTATTTCGATTTTGTGCATATTGTCATATCATTAATAATTCTTCTGAAACATGGTGTTTAATTGCAGCAAATAATATTTGGTCCAGTTGGCTTTGCCAGTCTTGTATTGATGAGTATTTGGCTATTTAAAAAACTTCCCTTTGATTGAACTGGCAATTGTTAATTATTTGATAATTATTTTTAAATTGACGAGAGTTAAATTCACTCTCCTTCCATCCTTCTCTCCTTTCATCCCTCTCTTTTTCTTTCCATCCTTTATCATGGTTTCAGAGGGCCAATATCTGCTGCATGTAAGTAGCTTCTTCCTGAAGCCTCAAGAGCATGAATTGTTCATTAAGTCACTGCACTCTCAGTAGTGCTAATACTGTTACTATCATGATCATCTAATCTAGAATGGCAAGGTTAGACTCCAGCAATACTAGAAGTGGCATCCTGGAAGATGGAGCCAACCATGATGTCGGAGCCTCAGGGGTAGGAGCCTTCTTGGGGATAAACAAGAACCTTGGAGGGTGAGGAGCTCAGTGGTGCAAACTACAAACTGAGCAGCTTTACTTTTAGGGTTCTGCAACCCTAAAATAAATAGTGAAATACTTGAATTTTTTTTAAAGAAAGTTTTGATATATATTTGATCTAGTCCAACTCCATTCCTGTCATAGGTGAGAATCCTTAAGCTTAGAAACACTGACATTTTTCACAGTTGTCTGCTCCCCGAGGTGGGTATTGGATTAAGAATGGTGGCGCACAGAGGTGGCTCCTTGGTGGTTTCATGACCCTGGTAGCCTCTTACTCTTGGACTTCTTGTGTTGGTAAATAATAAACCCTTATGATTTCAGCTACTTTCAGCTGGGTATTCTGTTACAAACTTTAGCATCTAAAGGGTATACAAATCTTGGAACAATCCTTTTTGTCCAATATACTGGAAGGTACCGCTCAGATATTACCTGGTCTGGGAAACCCTCTCCAACGCTCTGTGTTAAGTAGGTCAAAGGTGGAGTCTTGCATATACTTTCATTCACGCTGGTGGGTGGCCTCAACCCTTATTTTTGTATGTGGGAAAGGAGGCCATGAGGGTCCCATGGTGTCGTTGGGGCTAAGCCTCTTCTTGCCTGCTTCCTCATGTGACTCTCTTGCTCAGGTCCATCTTCATAAGTAGCAATTTCAGGAGCCCATTTGCTCCCCACAAAAGGTGAGTGACTCTGTTTACAAAAAATCTCAGTGTGATGTGCATGCTGGCATTCTCTGTACTTGACCTTGGTGGAACAGGAGGGTGGGTAGTGAGAAGAACGAGTGAGCAGAGCCAGCAAGCGGAGAATCAGTCTTGTGTGTGATCAGCTGTGGAAGATCTCACCAGGGTGACTCAGTCACTTTTCCTTTTCTCTCTTTTCCCATTCCCTCTCCCCACCCGCCCACAGTATCTCACAGCACGTGAGCCAGCATCTGTGGCCACCATGTCCCCAACAGTGGCCATCGCATCCTTATGGGGCCTCCTAGATCTTGAGGTCTGGAGTAGGGGAAATTGAGCTCAGAGGAGGAAAATCATTTTTGTGGGAGAGGGCTTGCAGAGCTCAGCAGAAGCCTCAGGAAGTCCCCTCCGGGGGCACGTTGAGAAGACACAAGTGTGACTGAATGACTTCAGTAGGCATTGTAAATCTGCAATTATACCTGAGGACTCAGTGACTCGCGGTTGAGGTCTCCATCAGCTCCATTTGCAGAGTCAAGCCCTATAAAAACAGGGCGATGGGATGGTAAATCAAGCTTCCCAGGGAATCGAGGGATCCTGCCGCAGTAGGCTTGAGCACATAAAATGGAAACTTGCCTTTAATGGCACGGTTCTTATTGTCATGCTGTAGAGGCCACCTTGGAGGTACATAGAGGTGCTTTTGGAAGAAAAGAGACCAAGTCCTCCCTGCACTTGATCTCTCCTGAGGATGCTCAGCTTCCGTGTCCTCCTTGTGTGATGTCTGTGGGCGGAAGGCAAAGGGGGTGGCGGTGGCTGAAGAGGCCTCATCTGGTTAACCAGACCAGGGAACGTCAGTTACCTCTTTAATGTCACTGCAGAACCTACGGTTGCCACCATCCAGCCCTTCCAAACAAGAACATGTGTTCATCTTAGGAACCAGCAGAGGGTAGAGTGCTCATGGAAGTGGCCTCTGCATGAGAGTCCTCTGATCTGGATTATGGAAATGTCCTTCATTCATTATTTAGTTTCTCAGCATGTGTTCTTTCACCACAGAAGAAAACTTCAGTATTTCAGCCATTTGGGGCCAAAGTTCATCCTACTTATTGGACATAAAGTTAATTATGATTATTTTCAGTAGTCCCTGCTAGTAAGGAAGGGGGATTTATCAGGGGTGAGTTAGGCGAGATTAGAAGAGTACACTGTAACGAGCTTTTCCTATTTTCCTGAACAAATGGATGCCAACGTTTCTTAACGTGGTCAGA